ATTTATAAATTATTATTATATTATTAAATTATATTATTTATGTGACTCAAGTAAAAGTTGCTGATGGCACTTAGAAGAAAATTTATTTTCAGATTATAAAGTTTTGATTTAGAGTTTGACAGATTCTTTTTTTTAGGGAGTGCAAAACAGTGTTTCTGTTTGAAAACTAACTTTTAAAAGTGTACTCTTCTGCTTTCTCTCTTCAAGATGTTCTTTGTGGAAAAAGGTTAACACAAGCCAAACCTGTGAGAGCTGGAATGCAACAAGACTGCTTTATTTTTCCAGGTCTTGCAAGTTTTCCTCTTACAACAGGATGCTTACTACTTTTCTATCACTTTGTTAAAAATCCTGCATTTAGAAAAAAAAAATACTGCATCACAAACACCCAATTTTTCTTACCTGTCAAATTTCTGCCTTATATGGGGTACAGCTGTCATAGGCTATACAACACTAGACTAGTCTAGAGAAGACTAGACTAGACTCTTGAGTAGTTGTATAACTTGTAAAAATGATAAATTATATTACTTTATCTGGAAAGCCCAGAATATAACTGTTTGCTACTTTAATTGCATTGGTACTCTAAAAATATATGGTTTGATAAAACTACTCAGGAATCCTATATATGGATTTTTTTTTTTTAAGCTTAGTGACTGAAGGGAGCAATTCCTGCTGTATCTATTGAATAAACTAGTTGTTAAAAATCATTATCCATTTCTATGAGTTTTCAATACTAGCAGTTTGGTAAATAAATTGCTGTTATTGAATTTGAGAACCATTTTTTACTTAAGATTGATATCTTTTTTCCCCTTTACTTCAGTTCTTAAAAACGGCATGTCTCTTTATGTGATGAAATATATACTTATCATTTTTTAACATTTTTCAGTGTATCATTCAGTGATGTTAAATAAATTATAAATCAATGTTTAACCACTACTTCTAGTTGTAGATCTTTTTCTCATCTTAACACTATACCATTAAGCAGTAACTTCTCATTATCCTCTCCTCTTTTAAAAATTTTTTTTTTTACTTTCACATGCATATGATTTTGTTGTCTTTGGATGCTATTAAGTTGATTGTGAGTCAGCGTGACCCTGTGAACAACATATCAAACCTTACCCTATTTTGTGCCATTCTCAAAAGCTTTGCTTTGCTCAAGAGGACATAGAATGAAAGATATCATTCGTGATAGCCAATGAATCTTGTCTAAAAGCAGAAAATATCAGAAAGATACTTACATTGGTTTTGTTTAAAAGTATTTGACTGTGGGATAGTAACAAATTATGAACGACTTTGAGAAGAATGAGAATTCCAGAACACTTTATTGTGCTTATGTGAAAATTATTTATAGACCAAGAAGCAGTTGTTTGAACAGAACAAGGGAACACTGCATGGTTTAAAATCAGGATAAGTATATACCAGTTTGTATCATTTATCCATACCTATTCACTTTATATAAGAGAAGGATGGATAATCTCCTTTCGTGATTTATGGCCTTTGAAAATCCTTTGAGGGTCAAGCTATAAGTTGGGTCTGACTTGATGATACATAACACCCATTCAATCTGTAGGCTGAGCAAATAATTCAGTAAGCTGGACTATGTGAAGAAAAATGTGGCATTAGGATTGGAGAAACACATCAACAACGTAGAGATGATACAACCTTTGTAGAAAGTAAAAGAGACTTGAATCACTTACTGCAGAAGATCGAAGACTACAGCCTTCAATATAGATTACATCTCAGTATCAAGAAAACAAAAATCCTCACCATTAGACCGATAGAAAACACCCAATAGATGGAGAAAAAGATTGATGTTGTCAAGGATTTCATTCATTTTACTTGGATCCATAATGAACATCCATGGTAACAGCAGTCAAGAAACCAATACATGTATTGGGAAAATCTGCTCTTAAGGACCTTTTCAAAGTGCTAAAGAACAATCTTATAATTTTAAAGATTAAGATGTGCCTGATTCAAATCATAGTATTGGCAGTGGTTTCCTGAGCATCTGAAAATTGGACAATGAATAAGTACTCAATATCCCACAGACTACCAAAAGAACAAACAAGTCTGTCTTAGAGGAAGTGCAATGAGAGTGATAGAGAAACAGGGATGGTGAAATTTGTCTCACATGCTTTGGCCATGTTTTCGGGAAGGACCAGTCTTTGGAAAACGACCTCATGCTGGAAAAGGTAGAGGATCAGAAAAAGAGAAGATGGATTGATAACAATGACTGTGTAACAGTGGGCTGGAGCATTATCAGGGAGAGTGAAGAGGTTGCAGGATAGGGCAATGTTCAGATCTGTTGTTCATAGAGTTGCTATTAATCTTAGTCCACTTGATTGCAGCTGACAACAACAAAATTATTAATGATAAAATGTTAAAGATAAAATGTTAAAGCATAATGGTAACAATGTATTATGACATTTGTATCATGTGTAGAACTAAAATGTGCAGCAGCAAAGCTCATTTTCTCAGAGAGGAGAAAATGAAAATGTTATGCAGTGTTTGCTCTGTATTTTCAGTGGTCTAATTTTATTTAAAAATTCACTAATAACTATGTAAAGCTATGGAGTATAAACCTAAAGGAAATCACCAAAAGGTAAAGCAAAAATATATGACTAATAATCCATTGTTGTTGTTGTTGTTGTTATGTGCCATCGAGTTGCTTGCGACTCATAGCGACCCTATGTACAAGAGCCCTAAACGCCGTTCTAGCCTGTGCCAGCCTTGCTGTCTCAAACACACTCATTCCCACCACTCCACTCACAGAATCGATCCATCTCATTGAAGGTCTTCCTCTCCTTCGCCGCCCCTCCACTCTGCCAAACATGATGTCCCTCTCCAAGGACCAGTCCCTCCTTGCAACATGCCCAAAATATGTCAGACGGAGCTTCAGAATCCTTGACTCCAAGGAGCATTCCATCTTCACCCTCTCCAGAACAAACCTGTTTGTTCTCCTAGTAGTCCATGATATATTCAACACTCTTCTCCAGCACCACAGCTCAAAGGCATCAATTCTCTTTCTGTCATCCCTAGTCACTGCCCAACTCTCTGATGCATAGCATGTAATTGCAAAGACCATAGCCCGGATCAGGCGCACCTTAGTCTCCAGCCTCATGTCGTTGCGCTTCAGTACTCTTGAGAGGTCCCTCACAGCTGACTTTCCCAATGCAATTTGTCTCTTGATTTCCTAGCACTAGTTCACAACAGTCTTGGCACCAGCAGCCAGGAAATTAAAAGGCGCATTGCCATGGGAAAGTCTGCTGTTAGGGACCTCTCCAAAGTGCTGAAGAGCAATGGTGTCTCTCTGGAGACTAAGGTGTGTCTGATACAGGCCATGGTCTTCGCAATCACCTGTTATGCATCAGAGTTGAACAATGACCAAGGAGGATAGAAGGAGAATTGATGCCTTTGAGCTGTGGTGCTGGAGAAGAGTATTGAGAATACCATGGACTGCTAGGAAAACAAATAGATTTGTCCTGGAGAGGGTTAAACTGGGTGGCTCCTTGGAGGCAAGGATTCTGAGGCTCCGTCTAACATACTTTGGACATGTTGTGAGGAGAGACCGGTCCTTGGAGAGGGACATCATGCTTGGGAGGGTGGAGGGACAGCGCAGGAGAGGAAGGCCCTCTATGAGGTGAATTGATTCAGTGACTGGGGTAATTGGGATGGGAGTGTCAGGGACAGTGCGATTGGCACAGGACAGAGCGGAGTTTAAGGTCGCTATGAGTCACAAGCGACTCGACGGCACATAACAACAACAAACAAAAAGTTGAAAATATAACAGATGTTTTTGAAAATCATTGATTTATTAAGAAAGGAAAACACGCAGATAGAGCAAATAGAAAAGATAGTAGATTTTTACACCAGTCGTAGCAATAGTTACAGTAAATGCAAATGTTTTAAATATATTAAAAGTGGTTAAACAGAAGAATGAATTATTGTAATAGGTTAGAATATGATTAGGTATTATTGGTATGTCAAAAGTCCAGAATTAGAACAAATCTCACTAATAAAGTGCTAAGTAGAAGAACTCTGTATGTGTGTGTATCCTTCAGTGTTGGCCTTGAATACGTTTCTTGAGGATCTGAAGCTGCCTTTCCTCCCCATGGCCAAACCTGAAATTCCTTTTGTCTGCAGTGTATGAGATTTACTTTACTCTCTTGTGGGAAACCAGGCTCCTTCCTATTCCTGTATTTGTCTTTCTGCTATAGGTTATAACAAAAGCCTGTATTTTGAAAATAAACAAAGCAGTGGCTGTCTCTCTCATACACACACACACACACACACACACACACGCGCGTACAGACACACACACAGATGAATTAGATAAACATTAAACAAAAGATGACAATCTCAAGGTACTGCATATTATATGATAGCATTTATATGAAATTCTAGATGAGGTACAACTATAGCTGTGGAAAGGGAGTTCTGGTGGCCTAGTGGTAAGAAGCTGTGCTGCAATTCCAGAGGCGTATGGTTCTAATCCATCAGCTGCTCCGTGGGAGGAGGATGAACAAACTGTTTACTTCCTCTGAATCCCACTGGAGGGTCAGCTCTGGGTCGGTTCCAGCTCAATGGTACACAATAGCAATAATAGCTATGGAGAGTAGATCAGTGGTCAACTATCTGCTTCTCAAAATTAACCAGAAAAACATTATGGATCACAATAGAATGTTGCTTAATTTATTTACTTTGGATACATTATCAGGAAAGACCACTTGCTAAAGGATGTTTGGTGAAGTAGAGGGCCAGTGAAGGTAAGGGAGTTCTGCAAATGAGCCATAGTGTACTCAAATATGCTGAAAATTGTTAGGATAGTATAACACTTGGCAAAATATCATTCTTTTATAAATAACTCTGAATCAGGGTTGACTCAAGAATAGCTATTGTAATCTACCCTAAAAATATATTCAGAATGTTAGAGGCTAATATGATCTTTAAGACTAAATTACCTACTATTTTACTATATTTTTAATGTATTTTTAAATTATCAGGTTGAACTAAAGCGTCAGTACAATGACCAGCATTCAAAATCAAGAGGTCTTTTACCCGGTCGTCAGTGGTATGAAATTCAAGCATATAGGGCCTTAAACCAGGCCCTAGGTAGGTAAGTGGAATGAAATTTAATACAGTATTATTATAATATTTTCTGCAGCCAGTAGTATATCTGTCAGGTGCTCTTGTGGCAAAGTACATCGTTTACTGGATAACCAAATGACCAATTGTTTGAATCCACCACTTACTTCACGGGAGAAAGATGGACAGTCTTTTCATTAAGATTTAAAACCTGAGAAACTTGATAGAGTATCACAATGAATCAGAATCCACTCAACAGTAAGAGTAACAGATTATAAAATATGTGATATTCTCCTCATGATAAATATGGTAAAATGTAACTGGAACCATAAAAATTCACATATGTCCATGATAAATGTCACAAGCAGAAATAGAAAAGAGTAAGTAGAATAAAAGAGATCATACTCAAAAGAAAATTTGAGGTTTACTAAAACTTAAAGTTTTATAAATGGCTACGCAATCAATAGCTTAAAAGATGCTCAGGATATGTTTATTTAAGGGAGCTCACCACCAAGAAATAAAGGTTTTGGCTTGTGAACAATAGGACCCATATGGTGGTTTTATATGTAGAAAGAAAAGACTTTCCTATTTCAGGAGGATGGGGGCGGGGAATGAAAATTATATACTCGCCAAGGTAAGATTTTCTGTTTGCAGTGCAGTGTCCTTCAGTCACTGAAGGTGAGTGGAATCATATAATTGTTAAATTCATTTTATAAAATACACACAATTAGTTATAATTCAGTGATTCATGCAGTTGCATTTTTATTCTGCTTCTATGTAAAGAGGTTAGCTCGGGGGGCCTTGTCCATGTGGAATTTTACTCTTAGCCCAAAAACCATCCCTTTCTGACAGTTTGAATCTACCATCTTCTCCTTGAGAAAGTGATTTATGATCACCCAGTGATGAGTCTGCTGTGAATCAGTTCCAACTTGATAGTAAAAAGTTTGATATTTTTTGTTTGTTTCTTTATTTAAAAAAGTAAAATGGAAGGGGGGTCATATTTAGTTAAGCATGATTTTTAGGATTTAGATAACAGCCTACATTCCATTTGCTGTGGATTCTTTCTGTATAATGATATTTGTTGATGGATAACTGAAGTGGAAGAATACTGAACAATTAATGAAAATAAACACAATACTTAACTCTTTAGAAAAGCAGAAAATGGGCAATAAAGCATTATAAATAAATTATTAAAGAATGGTTAACACAACCATAGTCATAGCACTAAAAATTTAGCACCAAGTAAAACTAAAATTTAATTATAATATTTTATTCTTTAAAGATTCTGTTTATTATTTATATTCAGTTATCATTTGTCACAATTTGTAGAACATCAGCATCGATGTTATTTAAACATTATTATAATTAGAATTTGTAGAAGCTAATAGTCTCTTTATGAAATTGTCATTTTCTTAATACTATAATAATTTTTCCCATTGAAACTATGAGGCATTCAAATTATGCAAATGAATGAACTCTATATCCTCTCTTATGTTGTATTTTATGAGATAAAATACTCCTGAGTGCTGCGTGGTATTCCATTGTGCGAGCATACCACAATTTCTCAATCCATTTGCTTGTTGATGGACATTTGGCCTATTTCCATGTTCTTGCTGTTGTGGATAAAACTGCTTTGAACATCACTATATTTATCTCTATTTGTGTCTCAGTTCTATTTTCCTTTGGGTATATTCCTACTAGTAGAATAGCTGGGTCATATGGGATTTCTGTGTTCAGCTTTTTGAGGAAACACCAGCCAGAGTGTACCATTTTACAATCCCACCGATAGTATATGAGAATTCCTGTGTCTCCACATCTCCAACATTTATTGCTTGCTGTCCTCTTAAGCTTTCCTGCTGCTACAGAGGTGAGATGGTATCTCAGTGTGGTTTAGATTTGTATCTCTTATTGTCAATGATTTTTGAGCACTTCTTCATGTGTCTGTTGGCCATCCGACTGCCATCCTCTGTGAAAATTCTTTCCATGTCTTTTGCCCAATTTGTGATTGGATTATCAGTCTTTTTCTTCTGGAGACTCTGCAGTGCTCTGTCAACTTCTGTTATGATACCCTTATCTGAGGTATCATTGGCAAATGTTTTTCCCCAAGTCATTAGGTTTTCTTTTCAACCTACTGGAAAATGTTTTTGATTCTCAAGGAGTCTCTTATGCTAGGATTGGTGGAATAACAGCCCTTTCATCAGATTTAGAGCCAGACAGGTTCCTACGAGTGGCAGCATACACAAGAGTAAGATAGCAGTTTTCCACCAAACTCCAAAAGTGGAAAATAGAGTATGTCCTGTGAGTCCAGAAAGGGTTAAATGACCAACCATGTCCTTCCACTACTCTTTTTTTTTTTCACATGTGTTCTCATATACTTTTTTAGGCAAACTTAAAATCTACGTCTAGCTGAAGACCACATTCTCTGAGCAGTCTGTTTCACTGTCTAGAGTGTAATTCCTCCTGAGTAAGCCCATAGCATTTAATACAGTAGTATCTGATTGTATTGTAATAATTTCTTTCTATATTTGTCATCTTTTTCGATACATTTTCACATTCTTAGCAATGATCAGTGCTTGGGACGTAGACGCTCAGCAGATTCTTACAGAATTATTGAAAAATGTCAAATTTAGTCTTTTACCCCAGTCCCTCACATGCCCCAAAACTTCTCAAGTTTTAAAATGGCTGTCTCTAGAATTTGATAAAGACATATGTTTATTATACTGATATCTGATACTGTGATTTTTATATTATCATAATTAAAAAATAAATGGATTACTCAACCTGGAAAATTTTACTAATTTTCAAGGAAATAGTATCAACATACAGCACATTTTAAAGTTTTTATCTATTATGTTCAATGCCATATAGAACTGTTAAAGAGTATTTGAAGTAATATAAGTCTATGAAATGTAGTAATAACAACCTTTGGGATTATACCAGATGGTTTTGTGACTAGGTTACAACTGAACTATGCATTTCCTAACTGTTATACTTTACTAAAAGTGTAATCTTGTCTCAAGTGAATTTGAGCAAGGCAGTTTGAAAACAGTGGGGGGCGGGGGGGGAGAAAAAGTGAACCTTTTTTTTCTGAATTGTTTTGTTAACTTAAATATCTTTTTTTGCCATAGGACAGATTAAACATAACTAAGGTAAAAGCAAAGTACCCTAGTACCATCACATTCCCTTGTTTTCATACTGTTGTGTAATGTTGTCAGTCTACATAGTCCTGTTATCCTGCTCACTTTAGTAGAACTTTAAAACCTGTAGATTTCTCTAATACAATAAGAGAGCATCATCTGAAAAGCCAGCTTTTTTGTTGTTGTTGTTGCTTAGAAAAAAGCCAATTTTTAAAGCTTGTGGGGAAAATTCAACATTTATGTTAATCTCTACTCCCTCCAAAAATACTGTGACAGTAAAAGAGCAAGAATATCATATTTACAAAGTTAAAAAGAACAAGAGAGGAGATAATAACAAACAATATGTCAATAGTCTTTTAAAGAAGATCAGTAACTTTGTAGGCAAGAGAATGCTAAAATTAGTCTGTAGTGGTAAAAACAATAAGAACCTGAGATTCATGCCTAGAAAATTTAGGACTTGAGGGCACTAGATAGATTAATGCAGGTAAGTGTCAGACACCTTTAAAAAGCTAGAGGTTTCCGTTCTGGGTTGGTTCTGACTCGATGGTACACAACAACAACAAATTACAAGGATAGAGAATTAGAAAGGCATCAGACTTCTTGAAAGCAACCCTGGGAGCTAGAAGATAGTTTAGACTTGTCTTCAAATTTTAAGGAGAAAATTTTACTTGCAACTTGAGTTTTCTACAAGCCAAGCTATCAATTAAGCTGTAAAACAGAATAAAGTCTTTAATGCAAAGGCCTAAAACATTTGCTTCAAATGAAGCAAATTAGCTCCTCAAGATGCTAATTTTCTAATCAAAATATGAGAAAATGTGGTTGGTTTGTTTATTTGTTTTTTTTATTTTTTTAAATAAAAGATTCCAGAAACTGGGGTTTCAATCCAGGAGAGATAGGAAGATTTTTAAAATGTTGTTGTTGTTGTTGTTGTTATGTGCCTTCAAGTCACTTGCGACTCATAGCGACCCTAAGTACCACAGCCCTAAACTCTGCTCTGTCCTGTGCCAATCGCACTGTCTCTAATACACCCATCCCACTTACCCCAGTCACTGAATCAATCCACCTTATAGAGGGCCTTCCCAATTCCTGCGCTGTCCCTCCACCCTACCAAGCATGATGTCCCTCTTCAAGGACCGGCCCCTCCTTACAACATGTCCGAAGTATGTTAGACAAAGCCTCAAAATCCTTGCCTTCAAGGAGCCGCTTGGTTTAACCCTCTCCAGGATGAATCTGTTTGTTTTCTTAGCAGTCCATGGTACCCTCAATACTCTTCTCCAGCACCACAGCTCAAAGGCATAAATTCTCCTTCTATCCTCCCTAGTCATTGTCCAACTCTCTGATGCATAACAAGTGATTGCAAAGACCATGGCCTATATCAGACACCCCTTAGTCTCCAGAGAAACACCATTGCTCTTCAGAACTTTGGAGAGGTCCCTAACAGCAGACTTTCCTATTGCAATATGTCTTGTAATTTCCTTACTACTGGTACCAAGAGTGTTGACTGTGGAGCCAAGCAGACTAAAGCTGTGAACAATCTCAATCTCTTCACCATCCATCCTGATGCTATCAGTTGGTCCAGTGGTGAGAATCTTTGTCTTCTTGATATTGAGTCTCAATCCATATTGAAATATATAAAATATATAATAAAATAATTGGGAGGGAAAGCTTTTGAAATAAAAGGCCTAGAGAGTTATTACTCTAGATTGAGTACAGAGGGTGGAAGGTTTGACTATATTGAGAAAAATGTTTACAGCTTTGATAGTGTTGGGAAATGCATTAATGATAGAAAGCAGAGCATTAAACAAGTGGTGAAAAAGAGAGAGTGGATATGAAGTTGTGCCATCAGCCCACAGGAAGGCAGTTTTAATTCATCAGCTGCTTCTCCAGAGAAAGACGGACAATCTCTGCCTTTGGAACTTATAGCCTCTGAAAACCCATGGAGGTCAGCTGTGAGTCGAGTCTGACTTGATGTCAATGAGGGAGTGAATCATTGAGACCAAGTGAATAGAGCAACTATTTGAGGACTACAAAAAAGAAATTGTAGGGGAGCTCTGGTGGCCTATTGGAAGAAGCTGCACTGCAATCCCAGAGAAACGCGGTTCGAATCCACCAGATGCTCTGCCGGAGAAGGAGGGGCAATCTCCTCCTGTACCAGTCAGATCTGATTTGACAGTACACACACACATAAACAAAAATAATAAAATTTTAAAAATTTAAAAAAATAAAATAAAAAAAAATAAATTGTAGCAGGCAGTTTGAGGAAGATCATAATATGAAAAGCCATCAAAATGTCTGGAGTGCTACGTTCATATCAGACAAAGGAGAATTTAGAGCAGAGAAAATGAGTACAGATAAAGAAGGAATTACGTAATAATAAAAGATCAATTCACCAAGAAGAAATCATAATTCTAAATGTGTATACACATAGCACAGCTTCAAAATGAGTGAAGTAAAACTGGACAAATCTGGAAAGAGTAACAGAAAACCACAATTACAGTTGAAGACGTCAGCACTCCTCTAAGTGAAAAATCTGAATAGTAGTTAGACAGAAAACAGAAATGTAGGAGACTTGAGTAACATTTTCAATCAAGTGAATTGAATTGACATTATAAAACACTCTACCCAACAATAGCAAACATTCTTTTTAAATTCACATCTGAACATTTCACTAGATAAACCATACCCCAGGTTATAAAACAAACTCTAAATGGGTGGTTTGTTTTTTCCTGTTCATTGAACTCATAGCAAATATTTTTCTCTGACCATAATAGAATTAAAGCATTAAACTAGGAGTCAATAACAGATAAAAAAAATTACAAATACTTGGAAGTTAAGCAACATCCTGCTAATAAACCCATGATTCAAACAAAGGCTTAAGGAAAATTAGAAAATATTTTTTAACTGTATGAAAATGCAGCATATCAAAATTTGTAGGCTGTAGCTGATACAGTGTGTAGTGGAAAAGTTATGCCATTAAATGCTTACATTAGAGAAGAAGAAATATCTTAAATCTATTATAATCTAAATCTCTAAGAAATTACAAAATGCAGAAGAAAATAATACAAATATAAAAAAGTAAAGATACATGCTTAAGTCACAAAAATTGAAAACAAACCAACAAAAAAAGAAAAAGAAAGGTCTTTTAATTTTTTTTAAAAAATTATATTGTGTGTGTGTACTCTCAAATCAGATCTGACTAATATAGGAGGAGATTGCCCCTCCTCTCCAGCAGAGCATCTGGTGGATTTGAACTGCATACCTCTGGGATTGCAGTGCAGCTTCTTGCCACTAGGCCACCAGAGCTCCCTAGGTCTTTTAATTTTAATAAAATTTATTAGTAAAATACACATAAAAAGAAAAAAAAAGAGACAGAAGATACAAATAACCATTGTAAAGAATAATGACATTGCTGCATGCCCTGGAGACATTAAAAAGATAATGTGAAAGTACTGTGAAAGGCTGAAAATTTTGCAACTAGATGAAATGAACAGATTCATCAAAATCCAGGAACTGCCAGAATTCACCCAAGATTAAATAGATATACTAAATAGCCCTATATTTATTAAAGAATTGAGGTGCCTATTTAGAAACCTACCTGAGGTATGAGTGAGGGGTGACAATTTCAGAACCAGATGTTTCACTGACAAATATTAGCAAAAATTTTAAAAATAATAGCATTCTTACATTAGCTACCCAGAAAAATAGAACCCTTTGAGCTCATTTTATGAGCCCAACATTATCTTGTTACTAAAACTAGAAAAAGACAGTGCAAAGAGGGGACAAGGTGAGAGGAAATCAGAGGCTAATATTCCTCATGGACATAGGTGAAATATCCTCAACAAATTAGCAAAATTGCATTAAATCTGAGAAGATGCCCATGTTTAGGACATACAGAAGCTCTCTTCTCAATTGCCAAGACTAATACTTTGTAACCCTTACCTAAAGCTTTTTTTTTTCTTTTTTCCATCCTTCTTTAGTCCATAAACACCTAGTTACAAGTTGCACAAATCAAAATTAAAGGCAAGGAAGGTTATAGGGAAGATATTTGTGATGTGTGAGGGTGAGTTGAGGATGAAGAGTTAGGAATGAGACCAGTCCTCTCCCTCCACAGTCCTGGACCAGGGCTGTGGCTCCTGCAGCAGGGGCTTTGAGGAAGAAGTGGACAAAAACCCAGGAGAGATGAGGGATAGAGGACCTGGACCTTACCCCAAAAAACCCTTTCCTTCACTGCATGGCAAGGGCAGAATGGGGGAAGTGATGGGATGATGGAGCAGCAAAGTGAAAAATCAAGTTAGTGGATACAGGAGGAGTCATTATGATATGGGACTTAAAGACAGAAAAATAGGTAAAAGGGCTGTGAAAAGTTCTCCCTGAGTCCCCCAGGGAGGAAGGGGGGGCAGCTTGCCTATTAATTTAATATTAAATTGGGGGTAGGAGTTGGAGGGCAGAGTTATCTCGGGGACTGACTTCTCAGCCTCTCACAGTTTGTACCAGAGAGCCTGAGGGCCTGGGGCTTTCACCAGTCATAGCGTCGGGACTGTCGGGAAGGGGAGTCCTCAGGTCCCTGTATAGCCAGGCGGGGAGGCCCCTCAGCCCGTCGTCCCGCACCCCCTGAAGCCCCATGGGAGGAGATTGCCCATCCTTCTCCCGCGAAGCAGCTGGTGGATTTGAACTGAGTCAGTTTCTTGATAACATGAGTTTAAAGAGTGAGTAGCTTTTAAATCCTCTTCATAATAAAGCTTTTGATTAAAGAAACATAACTGACAGATAATGGATTCTCCACCCCTCACCCTTATTTTCTTGTAGGTGTATTCGACACAAAAATGATTGGGGAGCTCTTATTCTAGTGGATGATCGCTTCAGAAGTAACCCAGGTCGCTATATTTCTGGTAAGATTCTTAGCTGGGATTATAATATTAATCTTTGATATATAATGGCTTCTATTTTTAATACAAAATTGAAATTACTGGATCAGATGTGAAAGATATACTTTAACTATGGAAATCAAGCCTTTCATGCTTATTGTGTTTATAAAAGTCTTTATGGAAAAGAAAAGTTTTTATAAGCAAGGATTTAAATACTTATCAACATAATATTGAATCAGTTAAGATTTTCCTTTTATAGAATATAAGATATGCTACAGTTACATGTTGATGTTGTTATGTGCCATCTAGTCAACTACATCACATAGTGACCCTAAGAACAATGACCCTGACTTTTGCTGTGTCCTGAGCCAACCTCACTGTCCCTGACACACCTGATCTCATTGCCACAGTTTCTGTCTCAATACAACTCATTTGAGGTCTTCCTCCCCTGCACTGACCCTCTTCCCTACTAAGCATGATGTCCTTATCCAGGGACTGGCCTCTCCTGAGAACATGCCCAAAATATGTCAGACAGAGCTTCAGAATCCTTGCCTCCAATGAGTAGTCCAATTTCAATCTCTACAGGACGAACTTCTTTGTTCTCTTGGCAGTCTATAGTATGTTTAATACTCTCCCCTTGCACCACAACTCAAAGGCATCAATTCTTCTTTCATCCTTATTCGTTGTCCAGCTCTCAGATGCACAGCAAATAATTGAGAAACACGTCCTGGATCAACCTACCTTAGTCTCTAGACTGTCATCATTGCTCTTTAGCATTCTAGAGAGGTCTTTGACAGCAGATTTTCCCAATGTAACTCATCTTTTGATTCCTGGTTGCTGGTGCCAAGAGTCTGGATTCCTATCTGAGCAAGATAGTAATACTTAATTTTATTTTTGCATTACCAAGAAAATAAGTGTCTTAAAAAATGATTTTTCAAAAAATGTTTATCTCATTTAAGCACATAGTTACATGTTTTGGATGTTTATAATTCTTCATTCTTTATGTTCTCTTTATGTGAAACTTTAACACTTTTTTTTTTATCTTAAGTAGGCACAATTTTATTATTTTGTAATCCCAAAGAAAAAGATCTAAAATAACTTGGCACATTTGAAAACGTTCTACAAAGAGATTTGAGCACTTGCACTCCAGGAGACAGAGAACAGGGCATGAAGGGAGTGGGACAGTAGGAGGAGGCTGGTCTTTGACACTTTGTTTCTTACACTGTTGCGCCATTATAGTCCTCTTGGTCCAGCTCAGCAGAAGCCCCCAGAGCAGCACCCAGAGCCCCTTGAGGGCTGGCTGCAGCAGTCAGAGCTCTGGTGCCTTTGGCGGTGGGACCTGCGGTGTCTGTGGTGGCTCAGGCAGCAGCCACCACCCCCAGAGCTGCAGCAGCCCCCAGAAATAGAGCCACAACAGGAAGAGACTGGAGGCAGGCATGGGGCAGCACACTTTGGTGGACTCTTGGGGGGACATTTGGGAGGACATTTAGGGGCAAGACACTTGGCAGGGGCCTGGCACTGCTGCTAGCTCTGCTGGCAGGACATTATTAGCAAAAGACCAGTCAGCCCAAAGCACGCTCCACGTCCTGAGGCTGGCAGTGTTGGGTCCTGGCAGCGGGAAGGCCTCGCGAGTCTCTTCGTTCCTCCTTGGAGCTGCTTCGGGGCCGCGGGCAGGCGAGTAGGTCTGGCCTGCGCAGGGGATAAGGTGAAACTTTAACTTTTTTGTTTATTAGGAAATACTACGAGATTTTTATAAGTTTCATTAACCAGTGGTAACATTTTCTGAAATGAAAGAAGTCACAACTACATGTAGTAAGAGGAAGTAGATGCTCAAATGTTTCCCCACTCAAACAAATATGTGCTTATGAGTTTTTATACAACTGGTAACAATAGTCACTTCAGAGTCAATATCAGTAACCCATCTATTGTCAAAGAGCCAAGTGATATATTTGCACCTTTGCTATTACCTGTAAAGATAAAGAAGTTCATAAAGTACTGTTACAAAGAGTTCCTAAACTTTGGCTTCATTTTCGCTGTTTATGAATATGGACCATACTTTTCCCATCTCAGACAGTTGTAAGCAGACACTGGTGATTGGGACATGGAATGTGAGAACCATGAATGTAGGAAAATTAGATATTGTTAAGGAAGAAATGGAACGCATAAATAT